CATTTTCATTGGTTCTTCCACTTTCCATTTTCTCTTTTCATTTCCCATTCATACCTTGCTAAACCCAACACTTAATCAAGACTAGTTAAAGGGAAATAAATAAATGTATTTTTCGAAATGGATATCACTAAAATGATATTTGTTCTGCCCAAAGCCTTCAACTTAATGGGAAATGCTAACCATATCATCAAACTCATATCGAAAATTAAGTATTTTGATTCTCATACTAAAAATATTTCCACGACAGAAAAAGTATGTTTTATACCAGAGGCATATGCAGGAGGGGTCACCGGGTTCACGTGAACCCATGCTCCCCTTCCGAAATCATATATAGTAGTATTATATTGTTTAATTTTTTGTTAAATATAAATATGCACATTCGAAGTATCATATAATACAACGATGATTGGATGCACCTCTCAATGAGGTTAGAAATTTGAATTTTATATCTATCTTGTTTTATTTTTCTTTCTAAAATTGGATAGCACATCTCTAAGTAGTTATTGATAGCACTTTTGACATTTTAATTAATGGGGAACTTTCGCATATAGCCACTCAAAAATAGCTTAATTACGCTCCATAACTATAGTTTGTCAATTACGATTTGTAGCTACATGTTATAGGGAGGAGAGAGGCGAGTGAGAGAGGGCAGAGAGTGGAAAGAGGCGAATTGTATATGTATATTTGTCAAATAATTGTATATATGTAACAAATATACATATGTATTTGTATATATGGCGAGCGAGATTGGGAGAGGGAGGAGAGATGAGAGCGAGATTGGGAGATGGAGGAGAGAGGCGAGCGAGAGAGGGCAAAGAGTGGAGAGAGGTGAACTGTATATGTATATTTGTCAGATAATTGTATATATATAACTGATATACATATGTATTTGTATATCTGGCAATAGAGATTGAGAGAGGGAGGAGAGAGGCGAGCGAGATTGGGAGAGAGACGCGTGCGAGAAAGGTAAGAGAGTGGAGAGAGGCTAATTGTATTTGTATGTATGTCATACAATTGTATATATATATGTCACGTAATTATTTTATATATATATATATATATATGTGTGTGTGTAATTTGTATATGTATAAAAGAGGACAAGTGACATAATTAAAGCTAAAATTAAGCTGCGAGCCGTAATTAATTCAAACTATAGTTATATTAGCTAATTAACTAGTATATGTTTGCTTTTCCGCATAATTTTTCCTTAATTAATTAAGCATTTCAACTTATAACTTTAAAATTTTAACTGTTTTCAATCATAAGAACCTAAATGTCAAACCGATTAGATCCACATTTTCATAACAGTGAACCCATCATTTCGAAATTCTGAATACACCTCTATTTTATACGCCACGGGGAGGGGAGGGGGAGGGGTTATGATTTTTTTGTTTTTGATTTGGTACTATGAATGAGTACGACGTAACTCGAGGGGCCAGAAGTAGTTGATTAATGGATGCACGTGATGGGGAATGCAAATCAAGGAGAAAATAAAAGAGTAAATATGAAGCAATCAATAAAATTAATTATTTAGCCCTGAAATTTTTGTATGTAATGAACTTTAAGTGAAGTTGAAATATTGGATTAAAAGTCCATTTCAAAGTAAAATAATAATTTCAGTATTAATGGTGGATTATATGAGTAGTCAGTGTTCACAATCACACCATATTATTACTATAAGCTGAAATTGATATTGTTTTAGTAAGAGTACTTTGTATAGCATTTAAATAAAGATTCATAATAAATGTTTAAGAAATTTAGAGATGATAATTGAGCGGGATGAAACAGTGTGAGGCAGAACATGATAAATTATTAAAAGATTTGATTCTAAACTAGTAAAGAAAACAATAGTGAACTTGAAGTATAAGCTTACATATTTCAAGCTTGATTTGATATCTTACTATTAGTTACAGAAATAATTGTAATATATGATTTCTTATACAAAATTACGTCTACCACAGTTTTTATTCTGCTAGTTTATGCTTGGGATTTGCCACTATATTTTATTCTTAAATATATATTTGAAATGAACTTTTAAAATAGGGTAGAACAAGTGTGGACATGACAATTCTTTTTTAAAGATGTAACAAGATAGAGAAAATAGCAGGTCAAGATTTATCCCGCTAAATATATACTAGATGGTGCGATAAAAATGAAAGAAAGTATAAACAGAGTAAAACGGGATAAAAATGAAATAATATTTTAAAATAACTTCTTTTAACACTTTATTTTTGCAAACGGACCCATCACCTTATTTTGCTCCCTAACTAAATCTTAATTGGATACAACTTTTATATATATATTCTTTTGCTACACTTTTTTTATTCACAACTTGAATCACCGGTCTATATTAAACGATTAGACCAATGGCCTTAGTTTTCTTGTAAAAAAAATGATGAAATCTAACTTATATGATTATTTCAAATTTTAAATGTTATCTAGTATGCTTTCATCTTTTAATCTCAATGAAGGTGACAAAATAAAATTTATTTATTTATTATGTGATATCATAATTATATTTTCTTTTTTATTCGTGATATCATAATTATATTTTCTACTTTATTAGGTGAAATAATCATTATATCTATCTACATGTCTATTTAGATCACTAGTAAAAAAAGTTTTGTTGACCCTTGGGTGTCCTTTGGATCGACCAAAGTAACCATATTTTTATGAAATTCAATGTTAATTTCAATAATAGATACAACACCACAACAAATAGCAAATGTTACCAATTTTCATAGACTTTTCTATATCTCTCATAATTAAATTGTAAGCGCACATTATTCATCTCCTTCTCTATAAAGTATTCATTAATTTTATTAACTCTATTATCAATGAGAGCGTATGTTTCAAGCACATTCTTTCGAACTAGCTTATTTACTCTTATTTGTCTAATAAATTTTGAATGTTCATATAATGAGATCAATTTTTGTATTCACAATAATCTCACAAGGGGAGCTTTCATTTGAAATCACTCCTACTTAGACAACAAATGTGACAAAACCCTTAGCCAGTGAAATTGTTGATGTAGCGCGTATTTAAGATGTTCCAATGATTTGTTTGAACCTAATTTTTAAAAATAAATTGTGATTAAAAAAGTATAGTAATTTAGAAATAACAGAAAATATTAAACTTTGTAGATATTTAAAATATTGAAAAACTTGTTTAAGTATTACTTCTTCACTCACAAATAGTCAAAAAGGATTTTTTTTTTCCCACAATAACATTCACATAGTAGCACAAATTTACTCTTTTTAAAAATCTCACTCTCAATTTAAAAAATTAAATCAAATATTGTCCAAACATTTTTCTTTTGTTTTGGGTACAAATATTATTCAAACATCTACTTAGAACTAAGACCCGGTCCACATTTTAAGCCCGAACCGTTCTCGGGTCCAGAAGAAATAATAACGCACAGTCTACTCCACAAATGTATAACACGTGTCGATCCTTCATTGGATGATTCCAAAATAGCTGACTTCTTATGGCTTGTTGAACCCAATCAATTCTCAACAGCTCATATTCACAATA